ATAGCTTTATATATCATATCTTTTACCTTTATCTTTATCATATATTTTATATAATATATCATATCTTTTATATATTTCCTATAAAACTATCATATCTTTAATAAAAGAGTATGCATCACAAATTAAAAAAGACCGAGTTATCATAAAAACATTGCCCATACTTTGCCCATAATTGTATATAGGCTCTTTGAATTACTAGACATCCATGCTGATCATAGCATCACAAGATCACATCGAAGAAATGCTATAATTCCTTAAATCCCCCTTCAAAATGATCCAGAAGTGCCCAAATTGCCTCTGTTTAACTAGTCCTAGAATAATGATGGATTATCATATACCATTTTTAGTTTAGATTTAAGTTTTATAGAAGAAAATGAAGTAAAGCAGAGTATTATAGAAAAGTTGATTGTTCCCATTCCAAAAATCTATCTTGAATTCTTCGAGTTTATCAAACTGGTGTATTGATTGTTAAATTATGCCGAAAGAGCACCTTGGAGAAATACTTTTTAATTCCTAACTTTCTTTTTAGTAACTAATCTGTTCAAAGTTTTAATTCATTGCCAACCATATTGGTTCTATGAGCTCATTATGCAATTACAGATGTTAACAGATAAAAGCTTGTTTGAACAGAATTTGCAATATAATGTTGGCTTAATCTTTTATTAAGTGGTCAGAAAAGAAAAAACTCTATTGTGGGTGATTAATTGTTAAAAATTTGTTCTTCCTTACATGACAGAAATTGCTTGTCTTATGGTTTATGATTTCACACTGTATAATACCCTCCTCCAATAAAATTATCATGTTTATATTATACATTATTATAAACTGGAATAAACAAATTTGTGTTCTGAAAAAATATCTTAATAGAGCAACAGTGCTTAGTAAGATGTTGATTTTCAGTCTTTTACCATATGTTCAGTAATGCTTAGTCAAATTTAAAAGTGAATAACTCAGGAATAATGCAAGGTAACTAAATATGTTTATCATTGTTAGACATAGCCTTGCAAAAAGTAAGTTTAGGGAGTTTCTACTACTGAATATATATCAGAATGCTTAATAAAACTTTATAAAATAAGATGCAACTCTTTCATATTCAAGTTAGAATTTATTTATTACCAGTTACTTAAGCGCATAGGGTAAACATTACAGCATTTCTAAATCGAAACTTACGGGAGCGCTTTACCACGTGCCTCACAACATGAAGTCCAGAGTAAGTGTAATCTGGCGATGCCTATCTGCTTTCTCCTCTCCTCGAGACGCATCACCACCTGTTCTCCTATGTCTTCATCCAAGGCACGCCTTTCAAGAAATATAGTCCTGTAAGATTGCTATAGGCAGCCCCCCCCCAACCAAGCGATAGCGAGATTTTAGCCCCAATAAAAATATTAAAAACTGGATAAACAAATTTGTTTCTGAAAAAATATCTTAATAGAGCAACAGTGTTTAAATTGATTTCAGTTTTTACCGTGTGTTCAGTAACTTAGTCAAATTTGAAAGTGAACTCAGGAATAAAGGTAACTAAATTTGTTTATTAGACACAGCTTGCAAGTAAGTTAGGGAGTTCTATACTGAATATATCAGAATGCTTAATAAAACTTTATAAAATAAGATGCAACTCTTTCATATTCAAGTTAGAATTTATTTATTACCAGTTACTTAAGCGCGTAGGGTAAATATTACAGCATTTCTAAATCGAAACTTACGAGAGCGTTTTACCGCATACCTCACAACATGAAGTCCAGAGTAAGTGTAATCTGGCGATGACTGTCTGCTTTCTCCTCTCCTCCAGACACATCACCACCTGTTCTCCTGTGTCTTCATTCAAGGCACATCTTTCAAGAAATATAGTCCTGTAAGATCGCTATAGGCACCCCCCCACCAGCAATAGCGAGATTTTAGCTATGCCGAGGAGTAAAGTGTACGCGTCGGCCTGAGTGAGTTACCACTGTTGATGATTCACAGTTCGGTGCAGGAATAGATGTTGGCAGCATGGGAATCTTCGATTTTGCTGGTGAATCCTCTGTTGTTGGGAGGGAAGTTCTGCGATTGTTTGCAGGGGCTGAGTCTTCAGCATCTTTTCTTGTGACATATGCTGGTTTAATCCTATCGATGCTTACTGTTTTAACTTTGCCCCGTCTGGAAATTGGGACAACTTTGTCGCCTCGACTGTTCACTTCATAAGGATCTTCATATGGCTGCTGAAGGCTTTTTTTCACTACATCCGTTCGAAGAAAAACATGACTGCAGGTAGCTAAGTCTTTGCTGTTGAATACCGCTTGCTCGCCATGAGGTTGATTTGTAGGAGGTAGGAGGCATTGCATAGATTTGCGAAGCTTTCCAACAAAAGTCACTGGGTCTGGGGTTTCAGGAGTAGGTCACAGGAATTCTCCTGGGAGCCGAATTGGAGTTCTGTACACCATATTTCTGCTATGGTTGCTTGTAGATCATCCTTCCAAGTGGCTCTGAACCCTAATAAAATTGTAGGCAATACAGCAGTCCACTGATTATTGTTGTGTGCCATGATTGCGGATTTCAGCTGCCGGTGAAATCTTTCAACTTGGCCATTTGCAGATGGATGGTATGGAGATGTGTGGGGACGAGCTGTACCCAGGAACTTGGTTAGTGCATCAAAGAGTGAGGATTCAAACTGCCTTCCTTGATCAGTAGCTAGTCGGAGTGGGGATCTGAATCTGGAGATCCAACCTGTGTAGAAGGCTGCTGCAACAGTCTATGCGGATATATCTGCTAATGGAAATGCCTCTGGCCATTTAGAAAAACGATCGACACATGCGAGACAGTATCAAAAGCCTTCGTATGGAGGGAGAGGTCCTATGAGGTCAATTTGCATGTGTTCAAATCTAGCACTAGGTGGTACAAAAACACCAATTTTACTTTTGGTATGGCATGTCACTTTAGATTTCTGACACTGTAAGCACTCACGAGCCCAAGATGCGACATCTGCTTTCACTGAAGCCCAAACATATCTTTCGTCAATCAGCTTCACTGAGGCTTTTACTCGGTGTGAGAAAGAGTGAAGGTTGCTAAATACTGCTCGGCGAAATGACTGTGGAACAAAAGGGCGAATGCGACCACTGGAGATATAACAATGCAGAATAACTGGAGGCTGACCAATAGGGAGGGGCCTCAGCACTAAGGAGGTAGTTGCATTTCCTGATAAAATATTTTGCAATTCTGCATCATTTTCCTGCTCCTTGGCAAGCTGGTAGTAGTCGATAGCAGATGGTCTGCTAATAGTAGCTATATGAATCCGAGACAGTGCATCTGCTACCACATTATCTAAACCTTTTAAGTAGCGAATATCAGTCGTAAATTGGCTGATAAAGTCCAGATGTCTTAATGGTCGTGGAGAGCATTTGTCTTCTTTTTGCATGGCCATATATGATGCAAGAAGCTCTCTATTGTATGCACTGTATCTCTGTTGTGTCGGAGATAGTTTTTTTTGAGTAAAAAGCCAGAGGTTGCCATCCTTTTTCAACTTGTTGGTAAAGAGCTGCTCCCATAGCTCTGTCAGAAGCATCAACTACAATTGCGAGTGGGGCCTCTGATGAAGGATGGTACAAGATCGTCGCGTTTGACAGATCTTTCTTACATTTCTCAAATGCATTTGTGGTTACTTCCGTCCATTTAATTGGTCTTTTGTGGTTTTTTGTCGCTCGCTTTAGGTACGTATTGAGTATTGCTTGAGTTTTTGCAGCTTGCGGATAAAACGATGGTAAAAGTTGCACATACCCAGAAAACGTCTAAGTTCTTTCACAGTTTCTGGTTTGGGAAAATTCACAATTGCTGAAACTTTCTTTGGCAAAGGTGTGATACCCTCGGGCGTTATCATATGTCCTAGAAATTTTACAGTTGATTTACCCAAGACACATTTAGCTGCATTTAGTACTACAAAATCCGTGAATCGCTGGAACATCATCTTAAGATGTTGGATGTGCTGGGTGTCATTTTCAGATGCTACCAATACATCATCGAAGTATGGTACACAAAAGTCCAGTCTGCTGAGGTAGGGTAAACATTACAGCATTTCTAAATCGAAACTTACGGGAGCATTTTACTGCATACCTCACAACATGAAGTCCATAGTAAATGTAATCTGGCGACGCCTGTCTGCTTTCTCCTCTCCTCAAGACGCATCACCACCTGTTCTCCTATGTCTTCATCCGAGGCGTGCCTTTCAAGAAATATAGTCCTGTGAGATCGCTACAGTAAGTAAATGTTGAAAATTCACACGGTGACATTTAAAATGTTCTTCTACAGCAATAACATAGTGAAATTTGGCCTCAAAAGCTCCAATAATATTCAGCAATATCTTGCTTATAATTGTTTGAAATGTATCTCTGATACAGCTTTTCTTCATCCACATTGATAACTGACTTCAGATGTTCTTGATGTTAATCAACATTTTGGCCATAATTGTCTGAAATATATCTTCAGTGCCACTTTTAATCTCTGAAACTGTTTGATAAAACTTACTGGTAATAGATCTTCATAATAAGAAATTTAAGGATACAAATATGGGAAATATAGAAGTTAGTTTATTTAGTATAGTGATGCAGATAAGACTTTATAGATTGACCACTGATAAAGGAATATTAATGATCTATTTTTGCATTATAACTTGTAAGTCAATATATGCTTTTATTGTTGATGTTGTGACTCAACAATAAAAGAACTTTGATCTGTTCTTTGTGTTAAATTGACATTTTGTACATATTTCCAGTTGAGATTCATCATGATAATATGTTTTAATTAAAAGCATTCAATCAGCCACTGAGGTTATCTCTAAAACATCTAAATTTCATATTGCAGTTTTATTTTTTTAACCCTTTCTTTTTTCAATTATAATTTAAGTGTGATATTATGAGTGTGTTCATATTTCGACGTTTATGAATCTTTTTAAAATATTGTATTATCAATCTCTAGAATTTTGGTTATCTTTTGTAGTTATTTTATTAATTAAATAGTATTTTGTATTTCAGTTTATTGAAGAACTTATGGAGCACAGGCGTTGGGGAATTTCTGTGCTTTTTATAAATGAGTAAGTTTTTTTTTAATATCTCTTTATTAACAGTAAATAATTGTATTGAATACTTATCATAAAATATTTTGTTAAAATTTTTATATGATAATTTTATCTTCATAAAATTTTTATTTTAATTTTGGCACTGGGAATCCGTGTGAGAAGTGCTTAAAATTAAAATTTAGAGAATCATGTTTTAAAGTTTTTTCCTTTTTCTGTTTCAAATATAAATTTTTCTTTGCTGATCCTATTAAAATATATTAAAATTTATATTGAATTAGGTAATCTATAGATTCTATAGATTTCTTTCGTCATTTTTTCCCTGATGGTATCTTGGAAGAAATAGTTGCTGAAACTAATGATTATGCTCATAAAGTACTTTTTCGCAAAGGAAAAAAGAAACATTCTCGCATCAATGCTTAGAAGAGCACCACTACAAAAGAGGAATTCTTGGTATTTGTGGGACTGATCATACATATGGGAACTATACGAATCAACCGTATACAAGAATACTGGAAAACAGATTCACTGTTTGGTTTACGTGTATTTTCAGAAAATATGAGCAGGAATCTGTTTTTGTTTTTACTGAGGGCATTGCACTTTGCAAAAATCCCAGATCAGAATACAGAGCTTCAATGGTGAATTTGTTCAGTGCATGAGTATCTGAAATATATTACCCAGGGCGTGAGATTAGTTTAGTTGAATCGATGGTATTGTGGAGTGGACGGCTTATATTCAGACAGTATACACCAAATAAACGTCACAAATATGGTATTAAGTTGTACATGATCACAACCGCTGATGGTATGGTTTTGAAATTTATGATATATATCGGCATGTTGGATGATTCTGATGGAAAAGAACATGCAAAAAAAGTAGTTATGAATTTACTCGAGGGAATGCTGGATGTAGGACATAGAATATTTATGGACAATTATTATAACAGCTATGAACTGTCAAAATGTCTTGCTGGTAGGAAAACTCATTGCACTGGGACAATCGGAAAGAACAGAAAGACATTTCCAAAAGAGGTAAACGAAAAAAACTGAAGAAAGGGCAAACTGTAGCAAAGTATGCTAATGGTGTGATGATTGCAAAATGGCAGACGTCTCTTACATTTCCAATGAATTTAAAAATGATATGGCAGAAATAATAAGTAAAAGAGGTGAAATTAAATCAAAACCTCTACCTGTAATTCAATATAATAAATTTATGGCCGGTATTGATAAGCAAGATCAGATGCTTGCTTATTATCCTTGTGAGAGAAAAAACAATTATGTGGCCCACAAAAATATTTGTGCATATTTTGCAAATAATGATGAACAATTCCCACTTTATCTATTATAAGTATTCCAATAAAAATACATCACTGTATGACTACTGTTTATCCGTGATACGAACTTTACTGAAACAGCCATCTGTTCTTTGTGCTCCTGTGTGTGATCATTCTGAATCTGAACATGTGCTGAGTACACGGGAAGAAAAAAAAGAAGGAAAAATTCTAAGAAAGCAATGCAAAAGTTGCTATTCCCAAGGGAAACGTAAAGATACAATATATGTTTCCAAATTTTGTGAAGGATCTCCCGGGTACTGCTTAAATTGTTCAAAGATAATACACAAATAATGTTCTAGATGTATCTGTATAATGTCTTTGTAATTTTCTTGTTATAAATTCCTTTGTAATATGTATAATTGTCTGTAATACATATTGATAAAAAAATAATGTGTACGGTCACTTATTTTTTGTTACTTAATGTTGGAAAATATGACTTATTGTAACCCTTTTACTGCATCATCTCTCCTCCTTGAAATGCTTATTAGGCTTAGATCTTATTTTATAGTAATATAGTTGTTACTTCTATTTTTTTTTACTGCCACTGTTTGTGTTGAGAACGGACTGTTTCAACCTAATTAAGATGCAGAAACGAAACGTGATGTTACGTCATCTGGAAAGCCGAATCGTGCAGATAGCTGATTGGTTGCCGTGAGATGACGTCATGCCTACTTTTGGTATAAGTATCTCGCATCGCTTTGGCTCAGCCCTTGGAGTTCACCCCTGACTTTCGAGTTAGACGGACGCTTTTCTCCTCACTGCTGAAAGAACGACCTTGGGCGTGATTCTGAGTTCAATGCGGAGCGTGAAGGAACTTCAGCCTCCCGCTTTGATTCTCCCTGCACTTGGTTTTGCATACTTCCTTTCGCTGTTAGGGGCTAATAGTAGGTTGGTGCTTTGGCCCCAGCTACGAGCACCATAAAAAGGCCTAGCGAACCTACAGCACGGCCACGTGTCTGTTGTTTCTACGACCTCTGCTCTTTACCTATTGAACAATGATTGAAAAGCTCTTTGACTTTCTCGGAGTGCTAATCACGGAGTACGAAGTGAGACCTGATGACAAGCCACTCACTTGATAAAAGGAGAGTATGGAACTACGAGTACTTCGCGGTTTCAGAGCCACACTCCATAAAATGACTCTCCAAGGATCTGAAAACACTGACGTTAAGGAAAATATACCTGCTAGGAACCAACCAGAACCTGGACAACCTATGACAAACTTGGCTGCAGAATCTATGATAGTGGATGAGACGCGCAAGCAGTAAACGACCGCTGAGTCCCACCATTCAATTCAATATTCCAGTCGCTAACAGATTTTCCTTTGCTGAAGAAGGAACTCCACTGGACGTGGACAGTTCGGATGATGGAAATTACACAGAAATTAAAAAATCTGTCCGGAAAACTAGGCGAACGCGCGGGAAATGCCATACCCCGGCTATAAACCCAAAAGGTAAAGAACAATCTGTGAATCCTGTTCCTCAGGAAGAGAAACTTCTGAATCCTGCCGCTCAGGAAGAAGAACCACGCGATTCGTCTGCCGTGATCAACACTGCCTTTCATCAACCAATCAGTGTGGATGGCCCTAACACTCGAACACACGAGGTTGCTACCAGTAGTCATGATAATGTGGCGTCATCTATTGGGGCTACTGAAAAGTCAGCTCATGCGAGTATGTCTTTGGCAGAAAGCGTAGCTCGGCCAATCAATATCTTGAATGAGGTCACGTGCCCGGTTGGGCCAATGGATAGTGATGCTTGTGAAACTCAGACTGGAGCAACCCGAACTGAGGGTCAGTTCACTTTCCCGCACAGGACGGCGAAAATGCCGCCGATTTGCATTCGAGAATGCAAGTACAACTGGAAATCTTTCACTGAACTGCTTGAAAAGGAACAACTGACCGATTTCACCATGAAAAAGAAAGTTGAAGGCAACTATGAAATACACACAAAAAATTCGGATACCTTCCGAAGCATGACTGCCCTTTTCGACAAAAAAGAACTTTCTTATTACTTTTAAATCACTCATTCCTTCTCCCTGAGGAGAAGAACCTTAAAGTTGTGATAAGAAATCTTCCCATTGATGCGAAACCCATGGACATTCAGGAGAAACTCCGTGAAAAAGATTTCACTGCGCTCAAAGTGGAACAACTGATGAAGGGCAGAGGAAAAGATAGGGCTAAAATGCCCCTATTTCTGGTCACTCTTTCTAAGATCCCTAAAAACAATGAGATATATCATCTGAAATATCTAATGTACTTGCACCTTAAAGTCGAAAGATATCGTGGTCGGTGTGGGCCGACACAATGCTTTCAATGTCAAAGGTACTATCATGCGCAGGCAGCGTGTCACCACCCACCTCGCTGCTGTAAGTGTGCAGGCCCTCATAAAAGCTGGGATTGCCCGGAACCTAAAGATTCTGAGCCAAAATGTTGTAACTGTCTCGGGAAGCATACCAGCAACTGGAGGGGTTGTGAGGCCTTCCCAAAGCAGAAACCCAATGCTCCCAAGCTTGATGAAAGGGTCATTGTCAATAAATCCTATGCCCAGGCTGTTCAATCTGATATTTTTGCGGGGAAAATTCAGAAAGCTGTAGTGGATGCTCAGAAGGTCATGAAGAGCCTTGCTGATCTTATAGCACTTCTACACAATACAACTGCCATGGCAGAAAAGCAAACTACAGTGAGGCCCAATACTAAGATAAATTATGGATCGTAGGTCCTTAGTAAAAATGACCCCAGTGACGATCATGACATGGAATGTGCCGAACATTATTACCGAAATTAGCGAACTGCAGAACTTTCTCACACACTACAACATCGACAATGCACTAATCACTGAGACACACGCTACGCCAGCGCACTCCCTGAGTATTGCTAACTATCGCAGTTATCAGATGACGTCATGCCTACTTCTGGTATAAGTATCTCGCGTCACTCTGGCTTAAGTATACGGGATTCCTCTGCATTTTCAAACACAAAGGGGATTCCTCTGCACTTTGAAACATAAAGGGGATTCCCTGTATTTCTGGACATGTGGAATTTCCCATGTTTGACCACGTCTGGCATGAGGGTCTAATTTTCAAGCTCCGTTCCCTTGGCTCTCCAAAACTTTAATGTGTCTCATCTATTCATTCCTGAAAGGCAGAAGTTTCCATGTTTCTATTGGAAATGAGATATCTGAAGTCAAAAGAATTCACGCAGGCATCCCACAAGGGTCAATTTTAGGTCCGATCTTATATCTTTTCTTTGTGACTGACTTCCCTAAAACAGGCTTTAACTACAATTACTTCATTGGCTGTTATGCAGATGATACGGCACTTGCTGTAAAATCTATGTGTCCTAATCAAGCTGTAATAAATCATGCCGCAAATAGAATTTTGGTGTACCAAATAGCGTATTTCAATTAACGCAGATAAATCCAAGCTGCTCATTATCCGAAAGAAGAACTCTGCCACTGAAATCACGGAAAAGCTTAAACTATTTAATAGAGAAGTTCCTAGAGTACGCAAGGCGAATTACCTTGGCGTTATTATTAATGATAAATTTTCCTGGAAGGATCACCTGACTTATGTCAGGGGAAAAACACTAGGAGTCATTCAGAGTCTCAACCCACTTGTTAACGAGCACTCTAAACTGGACTTAAGAAGAAAACGGCACTTGTACATCTCTGTTATACAGCCAATCTTC